CGTGTACGTCTGCCCCCCCTAGTACTGTGTCGACTGCAGCACTGCACACCTTCACACTGGATTCAGGTGCCTCTCGCTGTTTCTTTCGTGACCGCACTGCCCTTGAGCCCCTTGCTCGGCCAGTTGCTGTCTCCCTCGCTGACCCCTCTGGGGGTCCGGTCCTTGCGACCTCCTCCACTGTCCTTCCCTGTCCTGTGGTCCTGTCGGGCACACTGTCAGGTCTCCACCTCCCCTCGTTCTCTACGAACTTGGTGGCAGGTTGTGCACTACAGGACGCGGGTGTTCACCAGTTCACCCCTGCCTACGAGCATGTCACACACTGCACGTGTGCCCGTACAGGCCGCCACTTGGCTACCTTCACCCGGCAGCCGGGGTCGGATCTGTACACACTGACTACTGCCCCCCCTCAGGTCGCTGCGTCTGCGTCTGCGTCCCCGTCAGGTCAGCTGTCCGCCCCCTGCTCGTGTCGCTCTCTAGCGCACGAGACTGTCCTCTGGCACCACCGACCGGGCCACCCATCTGTGCAGCGCCTTGGTGCCATGCACTCCCGGTACCTTGTCTCTAGTCTTCCCAGGGTCCTCCCTCCCCTCCCACCCTCGCCTGCTCCTCCCTGTCTTCCCTGTGTCGAGGGGCGGCAGCGCGCCGCTCCTCACTCCTCCTCGTTTCCCCCGACGACTGCTCCTTTGCAGACGCTCCACATGGACGTGTGGGGCCCAGCCCGCGTCCGTGGTCAGGGTCAGGAGAGGTACTTCCTGATCGTTGTTGACGACTACTCGCGCTACACCATGGTCTTCCCCTTGCGAGCCAAGGGTGAGGTCCCTGATGTTTTGATCCCTTGGATCCGCAGAGCTCGTCTCCAGCTCAGCGAGCGTTTCCGCTCGGACTTTCCTGTCCTGCGCTTGCACTCTGACAGAGGTGGTGAGTTCTCCTCCGACCTCTTGGCAGCCTACTGTGCTGAGCACGGCATTGAGCAGTCGTTCACGCTTCCGGCCTCTCCACAGCAGAATGGGGTTGCGGAGCGCCGCATTGGCCTGGTCATGGAGGTCGCTCGTACCTCCTTGATCCATGCGGCTGCCCCCCACTTTCTGTGGCCGTTTGCGGTCCGGTACGCTGCGCATCAGCTCAACCTCTGGCCCCGTGTCTCCTTGCCAGAGACCTCGCCCACACTGCTGTGGACGGGGGAGGTTGGCGATGCGTCGCGTTTCCGGGTCTGGGGATCTCGAGCTTTTGTCCGCGATTCGTCTGCGGACAAGCTCTCCTCTCGTGCTGTTCCCTGCGTCTTCCTCGGCTTTGTTCCGGACGCGCCTGGTTGGCAGTTTTACCACGCCACCTCGCGCCGGGTCTTGCCCTCTCAGGACGTCACTTTTGACGAGTCTGTCCCCTACTACCGCCTCTTTCCCTACCGCACTGCCCCGCTCCCACCCCCGCCTCTCTTCCTCGCGCCAGGTGCTGCTGTCGTATACCCCCTCCCCCCTCAGGGTGCCGCTCCCTCAGGTGTGTCTCAGGTAGACCCGGTCGAGCTTGTTGAGGTTGCTGTCGACTCTCGTCCTGCTGGGGGTGCTGAGCCTGGGGGTGCGGAGACTGGGGGTGCTGAGCCTGGGGGTGCTGACTCTGGGGGTGCTGAGCCTAGGGGTGCGGACTCTGGGGGTGCTGAGCCTGGGGGTGCGGACACTGGGGGTACTGAGCCTGGGGGTACTGAGCCTGGGGGTGCGGTGACTGGGGGTGCTGAGCCTTGCGGTGCTAGGCCTGAGGGTGCTACACGTGGACGCGACCTCTCCTCGGAGCAGTTGCGTGAGTGGTACTTTCAGTACTGCAGCCTCCGGAGTGTTACCTCTGGGACCAGGCGCACTACAGGGACTGGGGCTGGTACTTCTCCTCCTAGTCGGGAGCTCCCCTCTCGTGAGCGGATCCGTAAGTGGTACGAGCGCCGTTGCACACTTCGGAGTGGTGCGCCTCGTCTCACGGACCCGGCTGCCCCTGGTGCTACGGACCCGGGTGTTGGAGCTGCTGCTGGTGCTGCGGACCCTGGCGTTGGAGCTGCTGCTGGTGCTGCGGACCCGAGGGTTGGAGGTGGCGCTGGTGCTGAGGACCCCGGCGTTGGGGCTGCGGCTTGTGCTGCGGACCCTGGCGTTGGAGCTGGGGCTGGTGCTGTGGACCCTGGTGTCGGAGTCCCTGCTGGTGCTGAGGACCCGGGCGTTGAAGCTGCGGCAGGTGCTGTGGAACCTGGTGTTGGAGCCACTGCTGGTGCTGAGGACTCGGGCGTTGGTGCTGAGGCTAGTACTGAGGACCTGGGCGTTGGAGCTGCTGCTGGTTCTGGTACTGCCGCTGGGGGTACAGGTGCTGTCCCTGCTGTGTCTGGAGTCGCCGCGCGCCCTCAGCCGTACTTCGTTCCGCTCCTTCAGCAGGTTCTTGGTCTCTCGCCTCCTCCTGGTCCTCCTCCCTTAGCGTGTTCACAGCCTGTCCCGTCACAGTTACAGTTGCAGCCGGCCTCCCCACTACCTGCTCCTTCTCCTTACACTGGTCCTACTGGCGGTCTTACTGAGCGTCGTGAGTCTGCGTCTCGTCCGGCGTCGCCTGTCCGTCCTGCTAGCGCTAGTGCTCGTAGTTCGCGCCAGCGTCCTCCTCCTGCCCCTGGCACGCACCGGATGTCTCTACGTCCGTCTACTGCTCCGCTGCGTGCCCCTTTGCCTTCTCCTCCTGCGTCCTCTCTTCCTGCTCTCGCCGACCCTGAGTCGGACTCTCTTCGTGCTGCCAGTCCTACTGTGACGCGTCTCCTTGCTACTGTTGTCACTGACCCTTCTTTCGAGTCTACTGCTGCGTCTGCTCTCGTTACTGAGCTCGTCGACTTTGCTGCTTGCTGTCGCTTAGACTACGCTGCTAGTCTTGTCGCTGAGTCTGAGTCTGTCTGTCCTCCGTCCGTCGGGGGTGAGTGTGCCCTTGGCACGGACGTCCTTGAGGACAGGCAGGAAGAGTTCCAGTGTCTGGCAGCTGCTTCACCTCATCTCGTGTCCGTACTGCTTACCCCTGAGGGAGACCCGGATACACTTGACATCCCGACTCCGCGCTCTTTCGCGGAGGCGATAGAGGGTCCCTACTCCTCTCAGTGGGAGGCAGCTATGGATGCAGAGATGGCTTCCTGGAAGTCCACAGGCACCTACGTTGACGCTGTCCCCCCTCCTGGGGCGAACATCGTCAGTGGCATGTGGATCTTCAGGGTGAAGCGGCCGCCGGGTTCTCCGCCTGTATTCAAGGCGCGTTACGTGGCTCGTGGCTTCAGTCAGCGACAGGGAGTTGACTACTTTCAGACCTTCTCCCCCACCCCGAAGATGACCACTCTTCGGGTACTGCTGCACGTTGCTGCTCACCGGGACTACGAGCTGCACTCTCTCGACTTCAGCACAGCTTTCCTGCAGGGCAGCCTGCACGAGGAGATCTGGCTGCGCTGCCCACCTAGCTTCACTGGGTCTTTCCCTCCTGGTACCCAGTGGAGTCTCCGGCGTCCAGTCTACGGTCTCCGCCAGGTGCCACGTGAGTGGCACGACACACTGAGGACTACGCTTGCGGCTCTTGGGTTCGCTCCGTCTACTGCCGACCCGTCGCTGTTTCTGCGCACCGACACCTCTCTGCCGCCGTTCTACATCCTCGTGTACGTCGACGACTTGGTCTTTGCCACAGCTGACACTACTGGACTCGCCTACGTGAAGTCCGAGCTGCAGAAGAGACACACGTGCACTGACCTGGGTGAACTGCGCAGCTACCTTGGCTTGCAGATCACCCGGGACAGAGCACGCCGCACCATTACCCTGACTCAGTCACACATGGTGCAGCAGGTCCTTCAGCGCTTCGGCTTCACGTACTCCTCGCCTCAGGCCACTCCTCTGCCTACTCGCCACTCGCTCTCAGCTCTGCCTTCGGATGAGTCCGTAGAGTCGAGTGGCCCGTACCCAGAGCTTGTTGGCTGTCTCATGTACCTGATGACCTGCACACGACCTGACCTTGCATACCCTCTTAGCATTCTTGCACGCTATGTTGCTCCTGGGAGACACCGACCAGAGCACATGGCTGCAGCGAAGAGGGTGTTGCGCTACTTGTGCAGTACGTCGGGCATGGGGCTAGTGCTTGGAGGGCGGAGTCCAGTGGTCCTCAGTGGACACGCAGACGCTTCTTGGGCTGACGACCAGGCTACGCAGCGGTCGTCACAGGGTTACACCTTCAGCCTTGGTTCCGGCTCTGTTTCGTGGCGGGCTACTCGCTCGTCTTCTGTTCTTGGCTCCAGTTGTGAGGCTGAGATCTACGCAGGGGCCATAGCTGCTCAGGAGCTTCGCTGGCTCACCTACCTGCTGACCGACTTTGGAGAGCCGCCTCGTTCTCCTCCAGTCCTGTACGTCGACAACAAGGCCATGCTGGCCTTGTGTCGGGAGCAGAGATTGGAGCACAGAACAAAGCACATTGCTCTCCGCTACTTCCTTGCTCGTGAGCTACAGCAGCGTGGTCATTTGCGACTTGCGTACGTGGCCTCTGAGGCCAACACTGCTGATGTCTTCACCAAGGCACTTCTGCCTTGTGATCATCAGCGCTGCTGTACCCAGCTGGGTCTTGTGTCTGTCTTGCCTCACTTGCTCTCCTCTTGACCCTCTTTGTACTGTTACATATATATATCACTGCTCTTGCTTGTTTAGTCTTATATATATATATCTGTATTCCTGCATGTGAACTGGCCTTGTGGCCTTGCACTTGTGCTCGGATTGTGTGGTGACGTTGTGATCCACCCTGAGCTTGCTTTGTTTTGCTTTACTTGACTGGTCTTGTGACCCCTAGTTCTCCCCACTTCGCCTATGGGGGTGTGTGAAACATTATATATGTTGTTGTAGTTGTTTAGGCCACAGTGGGTTAGCCTATAGGGGGTACACATTCCTAGGTTTTGATACTTGTACTCATTTCACTCTTAGTTCATTCATTCTTGTTCAAGAGCTTCCCCTTGTCCTCCTCCTTGCTTCCCCATGTCCCCTTCCCTTCTTCCCCGTGTCCCCTTCCTTGCTTCCCCATGTCCCCTTCCTTGCTTCCCCATGTCCCCTTCCTTGCTTCCCCATGTCCCCTTCCCTGCTTCCCCATGTCCTCCTCCTTGCTTCCACATGTCCCCTTCCTTGCTTCCCCATGTCTCCCCCTCCTTGCTTCCCCATGTCCCCTTCCTTACTTCCCCATGTCCCCTTCCTTGTTTCCCCATGTCCCCTTCCTTGCTTCCCCATGTCCCCTTCCTTGCTTCCCCATGTCCCCTTCTCTGCTTCCCCATGTCCCCTTCCTTGCTTCCCCATGTCCCCTTCCCTGCTTCCCCATGTCCCCTTCCCTGCTTCCCCATGTCCCCTTCCCTGCTACCCCATGTCCCCTTCCCTGCTTCCCCATGTCCCCGTCCCTGCTTCCCCATGTCCCCTTCCTTGCTTCCCAGTGTCCCCTTCCCTGCTTCCCCGTGTCCCCCCCCCTGCTTCCCCCAATCCCCTTCCCTGCTTCCCCATGTCCCCTTCCTTGCTTCCTCATGTCCCCTTCCTTGCTTCCCCATGTCCCCTTCCCTGCTTCCCCATGTCCCCTTCCCTGCTTCCCCATGTCCCCTTCCCTGCTTCCCCGTGTCCCCTTCCCCGCCTCCCCATGCCCCCTTTCCTGCTTCCCCATGTCCCCTTCCCTGCTTCCCCGTGTCCTCTTCCCTGCTTCCCCGTGTCCCCTTCCCTGCTTCCCCATGTCCCCTTCCCTGCTTCCCCATGTCCCCTACCTTGCTTCCCCAATCTCCTTTCCTGCTTCCCCGTATTCCCAGTATGTCCAATGTGAGTAGATCGAGTGTATATCCAGCAGCGCAAGCATGCAAGGATGCCACGAAGGGCAGCGCGAACATACTAAAGCATATGCGGCCTCTGTTGTGCGTGCTACGTGTGGGATTGTCCGCTTTGTTCGTTGGCGAGGCTATGGTGATACCCGACGACGTTATTTATTTCTTGGCAGAGGCAGCACCAGGTGCCACGCTTCGACTCATTTCAGCTGGACTAGCCGCAGGTAAGTTGAAGAATGGTTTTGTGTCAACACATATTAGTTGCATGGTTCATTTCAGTGAATACGAGTACTGTGTGCACCTTCATATTTGAACCCACATGACACCCAGATCCCGACTCGGAGAGCACGCAAATCGGCGCCATGCTCGAGATGCACCGTCAAGAGTAAAGTCGCACTTTCAGAGGGCGCGTTCATGGAGGCTACGAAAAGATTACAGATCTACTGGGACGGCCAAATCGAGTGCTGCCAGACGTCAAGTTTTCCTTTCCGATTATGAAGCTCGATCATCGCGGGAAACCTAAACCTGTGAAGGGCCTATCTTGGGGAGGAGCAAGGCGTGGAAAGGCATTTTCCCTCCAGTGCTAGGAAGGTAATCAGCTGCATGCATTTGAAAGATTCACCATCAGAAAGATGTCTACGCACTGTGCGCCTTTGGTCTTTCCTATTCCACTCCACAAGTTGTAGCTTATCTTATTGCTCTCGATATACTACAGGTGTTCTCGGGCTGAGGGCCGGCTCTGAGTCAGCGGACCGTGATGTGGTGGATGTTGTTACGGATTCACCTGATCCAATGGGGCAGGTCAGCGCCGACAATCGAGCAGTCAATCGGGTGTGCATACAGTCTACCCCCGTCAACACACCGCTGCCAGCACCGATGCCAATGGCGACAACAGGCACGCCAGAGGACATGTAAGCATCTATCATGTTTGAGGATGTGGTTGACGCGTTTCCCATTCCATGCAAATCAGCCCAACAAAGAATCTGACATCCAACCTCTTATGCGTTTGTTTTTCTTCTGATATGTGCACCACCTCTCGCCATGTCGCAGGCAACCGCGTCCGATCGCGCGTGCAACAGTCCCTAGGCACTGGCCTACCTCACCAAATGTCGATGAGATTTCTGAACAACGGGTATGTCTCGTCGAACAGCGTACTCTTGTTGGATTCTTCAAGGGATGTCGGTTGGTGTGCTCGCATCAACAGACATGCGGAGGAGCCATGTTTTTGAGGTCATGGAAATTTTCATGGGCATCATTAGGCATGTTCTGGAGATGTGATGCGTGCTCCCACAGTGTGGAATTCTGGTCATGCACCAATCGGACCGTTGAGAAAAGAAGAGATGGCGTCGGGGCACGAGTGCCTATGCTCCATTCTAAATTCGTAGGAGCATTTGTGCTTGCCGGGATGGGTTATCAACCGAGGTGGGAAATCAGCCGCAATTTTGGTATCCCGTGTCCCGAAAAAGGAACTTTCTATAAGTATCTAGGGGACGATAATGGGTTGTGGAGCACGATTCTTAGGGAGGCGGAGAAATCGATGGCAGCGGTGCGAGAAGAGATGAAGAAACGAGACATTCCTGGGGAATGGGTAACAGTAGACGGTCGGTGGTCACATGTCCGAGAGGGCGAGTGGTGTACCGTGTCATTCATGGATGTTGTTACGCGGAAGATATTGTACTGTGTGACAACAAGAAAGGGGGTTCATGATACGTCATCTGTGCGTTTGGAGCGGGTTGCGTTCAACAAAGGAGTTGATGAGCTGGCGCTGTTGGGATTTGATGTGGAAGGAATCATTTCGGACCAAAGAACGACATTTAAAGGTGCTGCGTCAGAGCAGAAACTGAACCATCAGGTGGATTGGTGGCACATGAAGAAAACATTGTACAAGCTTTTCTGCAAAGAGCTTCAGGATGCCGTGCGGGTACCAGTAGCCGTGGACAAGGCAACTTGTATTGAGGAGATGTGGTTGGCTACGGTGGAAGGGCTGCGGCAATGGTTGCGTGAACGGGGTTTGGAGAAGGAGGCGAAGGCATCACTCAAATCGGCTCTTGTGAAATCGGTCTGCACAGCCATGGGCACCATTGCCTACGTGCACATGACACCCGATGCGGCCAAGTGGAAGTTTCCGGAGCTGAGAAAGGTGCAACGAGTGGGGGGGGAACATGGGGTTGTAGATGTCCCTGTGGCTTATGCTGAGGTGCGATCTGGCCCAACAGGAGATGTGCGAACCACTACGATCGATGAAGTGGTTGACGAGGAGGAATTGGGCAATACACAAGTTGACATGTAGTGGCCGGATGTGGAGCTTTGGAGTTACGATTTGCATCCAGTGCATGGCGCTCGACCCTCGTGGGTGGCAAGTGCATTCATTGTGTACGCACATGCAGGTGCAGGCGATGTCTCACGGTCGATTGGTGGGACAACCCCGTGGGCCAATGCTGACGAATTCCCTGGTAAGAACGCTCGTATAAGAGAAGTTTTAAATGCCCAAGTTGTTTGGTTACTCAGTCATGTTTCCTTCCAATATTGTTGTTCACCAAGAGATGATGGCATGGGTGGTTCGGACCCAACAGAGACTAACCCAACAACTGACAACGAGGATGCAGTGCACGATGGTGATGCTGCAGGAAGCGGAATCGGGCAGACTTTGCCTCGGTGGGTTGGGCGCAGGAAACGATAACGGGGTGGAGACGAGGTGCACGCAGGCGATGAAGAGAGTACAGAGGCGCAACGCAAGGGAAGGGGATGGGGGGAAGGAGGGAAGGGGATGGGGGGAAGTAGGGAAAGGGACATGGGGAAGCAGGGAATGGGATGGGGGAAAGCAGAGAAGGGAGTGGGGGGAAGCAAGGAAGGGGACACGGGGAAGCAGGGAAGGGGATGGGGGGAAGCAGGGAAAGGGACATGGGGAAGCAGGGAGGGGGATGGGTTTTAGCAGAGAAGGGCGTAGGGGGAAGCAGGGAAGGGGACATGGGGAAGGCGGGAAGGGGATGGGGGGAAGCAGGGAAGGGGATGGGGGGAAGCAGGGAAGGGGATGGGGGAAAGCAGGGAAAGGGACACGGGGAAGCAGGGAAGGGGACATGGGGGGTAATAGGGAAGGGGATGGGGGGAATCAGGAAAAGGGACATGGGGACGCAGGGAGGGGGATGGGGGGAAGCAGAGAAAGGAGTGGGGGGGAGCAGGGAAGGGGACATGGGGAAGCAGGGAAGGGGACGGGGGGGACCAGGGAAAGGGACTGGGGAAGCAGGGAGGGGGATGGGGGGAAGCAGGGAAGGGCGTGTGGGGAAGCAGGGACGGGGACATGGGGAAGCAGGGAAGGGGACATGGAGAAGCAGGGAAGGGGACATGGAGAAGCAGGGAAGGGGACATGGAGAAGCAGGGAAGGGGACATGGGGAAGCGACATGGGGAATCAGGTTCAGGAGATGGGGGGAAGCAGGGAAGGGGAGGGAGGGAAGAAGAGAAGGGGATGGGGGGCAGCAGGGAAAGGGACGTGGGGAAGCAGGGAAAGGGACACGGGGAAGTAGGCAGGGGATGGGAAAATATAAGGGAAGGGGATGGGGGGAAGAAGGGAAGGGGATGGGGGGAAGCAGGGAAAGGGACATGGGGAAGCAGGGAAGGGGACATGGGGAAGCAAGGAAGGGGGATGGGGAAGAAGGGAAGGGGATGGGAGGAAGCAGGGAAAGGGACATGGGGAAGCAGGGAGGGGGATGGGTTTTAGCAAAGAAGGGCGTGGGGGGAAGCGGGGAAGGGGACATGGGGAAGGCGGGAAGGGGATGGGGGGAAGCAGGGAAGGGGACATGGGGAAGGCGGGAAGGGGATGGGGGGAAGCAGGGAAGGGGATGGGGGAAAGCAGGGAAAGGGACATGGGGAAGCAAGGAAGGGGGGGAAGCAGGGAAAGGGACACGGGGAAGCAGGGAAGGGGATGGGGGGTAGTAGGGAAGGAGATGGGGGGAAGCAGGGAAAGGGACAATGGGAAGCACGGAAGGGGACATGGGGGTTAATAGGGAAGGGGATGGGGGGAATCAGGAAAAGGGACATGGGGACGCAGGGAGGGGGATGGGGGGAAGCAGAGAAGGGAGTTGGGGGAAGTAGGGAAGGGGACATGGGGAAGCAGGGAATAGGCTGGGGGCTAATAGGGAAGGGGATGGGGGGAAGCAGGGAAAGGGACACGGGGAAGCACGGAAGGGGACATGGGGAACCAGGGAAGGGGATGGGGGGAATCAGGAAAAGGGACATGGAGACGTCGGGAGGGGGATGGGGGGAAGCAGCGAAGGGGACACGGGGAAGCAGGTAAGGGGACATGGGGAAGCAGGGAAGGGGACATGGGGAAGCAGGGAAGGGGATGGGGGGAAGAAGGGAAGGGGACATGGGGAAGGAGAGAGGTAAGCGGTGTGGAGGTGAAAGGCGATCATTAGGGGAAGGGCCATCGTGTGTGCGGGTTGGAAAGGGGGCGTGACTGGTCCGCCTGAGTTGGGAAGGGAGATGGGAGGGATGGCGAGCGTGATGGAGATGCCAGTGTAACGAGGGGAGAGAGATGTGGGGATTGCGAGGGGACGAGCGGGAGGGAGGGCGATGAGCAGCAGGGAGCGCGACGAGACAAAGAGGGGCAACGGGCAGAAGGGAGCGCGGCGGGTGGTCGGGGGAGCAATAGGAGGAAGGGAGGGCGACGAGACGAAGGGATGGCGACGAGACGAAGGGAGGGCGACGAGACGAAGGGAGGGCAACGAGACGAAGGGAGGGTGACGGGCGGAAGGCATGGCGACGGGCGACGGGCGGAAGGGATGGCGACGGCGGAAGGGAGGGCGACAGGCGGAAGGCGGCATGGCGACGGGCGACGGGCGGAAGGGACACCGACGGCGGAAGGGAGAGCGACGGGCGGAAGGGATGGCGACGGCGGAAGGGAGGGCGACGGGCTGAAGGCATGGCGACGGGCGGAAGGGATGGCGACGGGCGGAAGGGAAGGCGACGGGCGACGGGCGGAAGGGAAGGTGACGGGAGGAAGGGAGGGCGACGGCGGAAGGGAGTGCGAAGAGCGCTAGGGAGAGCGACGGGCAGAAGGGCGACGGCGGGAGGGAGTTTGATGGGCGTAAGACACAGCGACAGTTGCATTGGAGTGCAGGCACGCGGAAGGGAGCGCGACGGACGGAAGCGGTGCGTCGAACGTACATGTGAGGCAAGCGCCCGATCCGTGCACTTCGAACGCACATACATGCGCCATCCTCCCTATAGAGGTGGGCGTGACGCGGCATGACGTTTTTCTTTATGCTAGCTAATTTGTTTTTTGTTGTTGGCCAAAACAAACTGGTTGCTGCAAGGATAGAGACATCTCGCTGCCATTGTCCACGTGAGATCTTACGCCCTCTTGTGGTCCTGAAGAGCGCAGTGCACTAGTATCTTAGGCTCAGTATGGTTGCACATAAGTAAAACTTGGTTTTCAAGTTTACTGAATGTGAATAGTGCTCCAACTCCCCTTCACACTTCACGCGGAGTACTTGTTTTGTCGCTGGCCAATCAGCTCTCAGAGTGGTGAAGTCACCTCCTCTGGGAGGCGACGAGAAGCTTTCCCTTGGGTGGATACCTGGTTTTTGTGAAGAATGAGGAAAAAATGAATCAACTAGGAAAGAGGTGGGTACAAGTAGGAAAACCTAGAAATGTTGTACCCCATATTGTCTATCCCACTACAGCCTACATAGACTATAGCATATAAGTTTGACACACCCCCATAGGTAAAGTGGGGGAGAACAAGAGGTCACAAGACCAGTCAAGCAAAGCAAAAAAAGCTCAAGGTGGATCACAACGTCACCACATAGTCCGAGCACATGAGCAAGGCCACAAGGCCAGTTCACATGCAAGATCATATATAAAGGTAAACAAGCAAGTGCAGATATAGAAAGATCACAGTACAAGCAAGGTCAAGAAGTCAGCAAGTGAGTCCAAGTAGGCACAAGACCTAGCATCGTACAGAAGCGCTGATGATCACAAGGCGGAAGTGCCTTGGTAAAGATATCAGCAGTGTTGGCCTCAGAGGCCACGTAAGCAAGGCGCAGCCGACCACGCTGCTGCAGCTTACGAGCAAGGAAGTAGCGAAGAGCAATGTGCTTCGTTCTGTGCTCCAGCATGTGCTCCCGACACAAGGCCAGCATGGCCTTGTTGTCTACGTACAGATCTGGAGGAGAACGAGGTGGCTCTCCTAGGTCAATCAGCAGGTAGGTGAGCCAGCGTAGCTCCTGTGCAGCCATGGCCCCCGCGTAGATCTCAGCCTCACAGCTGGAGCCGAGAACAGAAGACGAGCGGGTAGACCGCCACAAAACAGAGCCGGAGCCAAGGCTGAAGGTGTAACCTTGTGACGACCGCTGTGTAGCCTGGTCGTCAGCCCAAGAAGCGTCTGCGTGACCTGTGAGGACCACTCGACGTCGCCCTCCAAGCACTATCCCCATGCCCGACGTACTGCACAAGTAGCGCAACACCCTCTTCGCTGCAGCCATGTGCTCTGGTCGGTGTCTCCCAGGAGCAACATAGCGTGCCAAGATGCTAAGAGGGTATGCAAGGTCAGGTCGTGTGCAGGTCATCAGGTACATGAGGCAGCCAACAAGCTCTGGGTACGGGCCACTCAGCTCTACGGACTCATCCGAAGGCAGAGCTGAGAGCGAGTGGCGAGTAGACAGAGGAGTGGCCTCAGGCGAGGAGTACGTGAAGTCGAAGCGCTGAAGGACCTGCTGCACCATGTGTGACTGAGTAAGGGTAATGGTGAGCTGTGCTCTGTCCCGGGTGATCTGCAAGCCAAGGTAGCTGCGCAGTTCACCCAGGTCTGTGCACGTGTGTCTCTTCTGCAGCTCAGACTTCACGTGGGCGAGTCCAGCAGTGTCAGCAGTGGCAAAGACCAAGTCATCGACGTACACGAGGATGTAGAACGGTGGCAAAAAGGTGTCGGTGCGCAGAAACAGCGACGGGTCGGCTGTAGAAGGAGCAAACCCAAGAGCCGCAAGTGTAGTCCTCAGTGTGTCGTGCCACTCACGGGGCGCCTGGCGGAGACCGTAGACTGGCCGCCTGAGGCTCCACTGGGTACTAGGGGGAAACGACCCAGTGACGCCAGGTGGGCGGCGCAGCCAGATCTCCTCGTGCAGGCTGCCCTGCAGGAAAGCCGTGCTGAAGTCAAGAGAGTGAAGCTTGTAGACGCGCTGAGCGGCTATGTGCAGCAGCACCCGAAGAGTGGTCATCTTCGGGGTGGGAGAGAAGGTCTGAAAGTAGTCAACTCCCTGCCGCTGACTGAAGCCTCGAGCCACGTAACGCGCCTTGAAGACAGGCGGAGAACCCGGCGGCCGCTTCACCCTGAAAATCCACATGCCACTGACGATGTTCGCCCCAGGTGGGGGAACCTCGTCGACGTAGGTGCTTGTGGACTTCTAAGAAGCCATCTCTGCATCCATGGCTGACTGCCACTGTGAGGAGTAGGGACCCTCGATCGCCTCAGCGTACGATCGAGGAGTCGGGATGTCTGGTGCATCCGGGTCTCCCTTAGGGGCAATCAGCGTGGACACGAGATGAGGCAAAGCAGCAGCAAAACACTGGAACTCCTCCTGCCTGTCCTCAACGACGTCTGTGCTAAGAGCACACTCACCCCCGACGGACGAAGGACAGACACACTCAGACTCAGCAACAAGACTAGCAGCATACTCTAGACGACAGCGAGCAGCAAAGTCGACAAGCTCAGCAACTAAGGCAGACGCAGTAGTGGTATCAAAGGAAGGGTCAGTGACAACAGTAGCCAGGAGACGCGTGACAGTAGGACTGGCAGCACGACGAGAGTCAGACTACGGGTCAGAAAGGACAGGAAGAGAGGACTGTAGAGGAGACGGCAACGGGACACGCAGAGGAGCAGTGGAAGGACGCAGTGCTATCCGGTGTGTGCCTGGGACCGCAGGAGGACGCGGACGCGGAGCACGACTACTAGTGCGAGCAGGACGAACAGGCGACGCAGGACGAGACGCAGGCTCACAACGCTCAGCAAGACCTCCAGTAGGACCAGTGTAGGGAGAAGGAGCAGGCAGGGGGAGGTGGGCTGTAACTGTGACCGCGACTGGACAGGCTGTGGACACTCTAAGGGAGGAGCAGGACCAGTAGAAGGCGGGAGACCAAGAACCTGCTCAAGGAGCGGAACAAAGTACGGCCGCGGCCGCGCAACGCCTCTAGAACCTACAGGGACAGCACTAGTACCCCCAGCAGCAGCACCAGCGCCAGCAGCAGCTCCAGCTCCAACACCGCCAACTCCAACACCCTCAGAAGCACCAGAGCCAGTAGCACCACCAGCGCCAACACCCCCAGCAGCTCCGGCTATAGCAGCTCCAGCTCCAGCAGGACCGTCAGCTCCAGTACCGCCAGCAGCTCCAGTAGTACCTCCAGTAGGACCAACTCAAGTAGCCCCAGCAGCACCCCCAGTCCCAGCAGCTCCACTTTCACCTGTATTAGCACCTCCAGGACCAGCAGCAACAGTAGCACCTCCAGCTCCAGCAGCACGGCTCCAGCGCCGGGCAAACCACTCGCGCAACTCCTGCGGAGAGAGTAGCTCCCGCCTCGACGAAGCACCGCGAGAGGCCACACGAGCAGACCCAGCACCCCCAGGCTCCGTACCCCCAGGCTCCGCACCCCCAGGCTCAGCACCCCCAGGCTCAGCACCCCCATACTCAGCACCCCCAGGCTCAGCACCCCCAGGCTCCGCACCCCTAGACTCAACACCCCCAGGCTCCGCACCCCCAGGCTCAGCACCTCCAGACCCGGCACCCGCAGGCTCAGCACCTCTAGCAGCACCAGAGTCAACAGCTACCTCGACAGGCTCCACTGCGTCTACCTGGGACACACTTGACGGGGCAGGACCCTGACAGGGGAGGGGGTCAACCGGGGGAGGACCTGGCGCAAGGAAGAGCGGCGGCGAAGGGAGGGGCGCATCGCGGTAGGGGAAGAGACGGTAGTAAGGCACCGACTCGTCAAAGGTGACGTCCTGGGAGGACAGAACACGGCGCGAGGTGGGGTGGTAAAACTGCCACCCAAGCGCGTCAGGGGGGAAGCCAAGGAAGACGCAGGGAATAGCACGGGGGGACAGCTTGTCCGCAGACAAGTCGCGGACAAACGCCCGATATCCCCAGACCCGAAACGCAGACGCATCGCCAACTTTCCCCGTCCACCGCAAGGTGGGGGAGGTCTCTGGCAAGGAGACCCGGGGCTGAAGGTTGAGCTGATGCGCTGCGTACTGAACCGCAAACGGCCAGAGAAAATGGGGGGTTGCCGCATGGATCATGGACGTACGAGCGACGTCCATGACCATGCCAATGCGGCGCTCAGCAATCCCATTTTGTTGTGGAGGGGCCGAAAGCGTGAAGGCCCGGCGGATGCCCTGTGCACGACACAAGGCTCCCAGACGGGCAGAGGAAAACACCGCGCCTCTATCAGAGTGCAGACGCAGAACAGGAAAGTCCGAGCCGAAACTCGGAGGAGTGAGGGGCGGCGCGCTGCCGCCCCTCGACGCAGGGAACGCAGGTAGGGGCAGGCCCCGTAGGTAGGGGAGGGAGGGACCGGGGGAGACCAGAGACAAGGACGCGGGAGGCCATGCCTCGGAGACGAGGCAGGGAGGGGTGACCAAGGCGCTGGTGCCAAAGGAGAGTCTGGTGGGACAGGAGACGACACGAGCAGGGAGCAGACTCAGGACCAGACTTGGACGCTGCAACAAACACTTGACTCGATGCAGCTACCTAACCTGACTCAGCAACCGGAGGAGACTCACTAGTCAGTGTGTACAGGCTCAACCCTGGTCGACGGGTAAACGTGGCCAAGTGTCGGCCCGTCCGAGCACACGTACAGTGGGTCACCCGTTGACACGCAGGAGTGAACTGGTCAACCCCCCGATCCTGTAGATCAGCACCACTCACCAAGTTCGTAGAGAACGAGGGGAGGTAGAGACCTGACAGGGTGCCAGAGGGGGCTGCCGGACACGGTAAGACAGTGGAGAAGCTAGCAAGAACACGACCCCCAGAGGGGACTGCCAGGGAGACCGCAACTGGCCGACTAAGCGGCGTAAGCGTGGTGCGGTCTCGAAAGAAGGAGCGGGAAGCACCCGAGTCAAGGGTGAAGGTGTGTAAGGCCTGAGCCGACGTGGTACCTGAGAGAGCAGACTCACCAGCACCTGGGGCAGCAGACGCACTAGCACCTAGAGCAGCAGCCTCACCAGCACCTAGAGCAGCAGCCTCAATGCCCGGGTCAGGCGGAACACACAGGTAACAGTCACCCTCATCACTAGCAGACACAGCATACATGGCAGCAAGAATAGTATCATAATCAAGATCAAAGATAGCAACCCCCGCCCGAGACAGCACTCCCCAGCGAGGGATCTCAGTGGCGTCAGGGAACTGGTGACGCCACGCGTCCGTCAGGCGGCCAAACCAGCGCTGGGTGGAGTGCGGGCCCCCGCACTGCTCACCAGCGCGGTCGGCGGTACGGAGGACGTAGGTACAGGGACCAGTACCCCCACCTCGCTGACGCCCAGCGTACCACTCAAGAAGCTGCTGGGGGGACAGGGTCTCACGAGTGCGCTGCTGCTGCTGGCGCGGACCACCACCAAAACCACTCCTCTACGCAGAGCCGCGACTAGCTCCACCACTGCCGCCGCCGCCTCCGCCACCTCCGACGCCTCCGCCACCTCCGCCGCCTCCGCCACCTCTGCCGCCTCCGCTCCCTCCGCCACCGCCGCCGCCTCTTCCGCCTCCACTGCTGCCACCGACACCTCCACCCCCGCCACCACTCCCACCACCACCCCCACCCCCTCCACTGCCTCCACCATCACCTCCACCGCCCTCGCCAGCCCCTCCAGCGCCCTTGCCCTCCTTGCCCTTGCCGGTGCGGCGTCTCCCGCTAGGGGGAGACGCAGCGCCGACCGACTCGAAACCAACGAGGTCGGCCGCAGCAGCAGAAGCAACAGAGGGCAAGAGGGGGGAGGGGGAACACCCCTCAAAGACGGGGGTGCGAGGGTCACCACGAGAGGCTCCTACAGCGACTATGCTCTTCTGTGCTACTAGGAGGCACTCCTCGAGGAGGTCAACGGTGAGTGTGGTGGGGCAAACTAAGAGGAAGTGGTCCCTGACTAAGCGAAGGGAGTCAGGGAGCCGGGTGACTATGTAGTAGAGGGTGATGTACATGGGAGGGGGGTTCTTGGCACAGAACTCAGCAGGAAGCGCAGCGCAGTAGCAAGTGTCACTAGTGCGAAGGTGCGTAATGAGGTCAGCGACTGTGGGAAAGGCAGCATGAGGCTGCTAAGAGCAGCAGTGGCAGGGGAAGAGTAGCGTGCAACTACAGCGTCGTACAAGGTCTTAGCACTCTTGTACTGACTAAAGTGCGCACGCTCAGTGGTCGGTAAGTGGCGACGCACAGCAAGACGGGCAGCAGCATCGCGTGTGGCCCACTGTGAGCGAACAGTGCTGTCAGCATCAGTAGGCGGGGCAGGAGAGGCACCAGAGGTGAGATCGAATAGGGAGAGTCCGTCTGCCCTATCGCACTGTAGGAAAAGCTGGAGGTGATCGACCCTGACCTCAAAGTCAACAGCACGACCCTCAGCATCAAAGGTAAGAACACTAGGGGTAGCCATGACAGCAGTGGTCTAGCAAGGAGTGATCTCACCAGTCCGTGTCAAAATTAGAAGGAAGAAAGAGAGAGGATTGAACTAGCAAGAATGAGGATACAAATAGCAAACCCTAGAAGGGTTGTACTCGCTATAGAGCACCCCACTACAGGCTAGAACAATAAGATAATATTCTGACACACCCCCATAGCCAAAGTGGGGTGTAATCAGCAGAGCAGGCAAAGCAAAACAAGCTCAGGGTGGATCACAATGTCACCACACATTCTGAGCACAAGTTCAAGAAGAAATAGTTTAGAGTTTACAATTATAAGCAAAGCTAGTGGTAGTCACAACGGGCAAGTGAGGAGGAGGAGGGAGAGTGAGGGGAGAGGAGACAGGAGGCGACGGCTGAAGCTGCAGACACACGGGCAACAGGAGGCAGACTGGCACAGCGGCTACCGGACAGCGCCCGGACTACAGGAGAAACAGGCCCCGCGGCTCAAATAGCGGCGGACGGGCAACGGACCCACGGGCGGCTGGCACAGCTGGCTACGACTGGGCTACCGGGACAGCGCCCCGGACTACAGGTGCTGCTGACGACAAACTGGCAACCTCCGCTCATCCTCCCGCACACAGTCCCACCCCCCTGATACACACCCACTGCTACACCACTAGCTCTACTCCCACACACCCCCCTTAAACCCTAAACCCAGTCTCCCACACAACCACCCCCCTCAGCGACAGCTGCAGCAGTGGGAGACGAAGGAGGAGGAGGAGAAAGGGAGGAAGGCACACCGACCACCCCCATACCCGCCACCCCACAGCAAGCGGCCCCCCTCAGGTCGCCTCGACAGACGACGGGAAATGGGAGGGAGGGGGGGGGGGGGGGGGGGGTGTGGAGGAAAGGGCCCACCACGGACCTGATTGGAGGGCGGAGCCGCGACAAGGGGCGGGGCCGCAACGAGTGGCGGGGCCGCGACGGTCAGGGCGGGGCCGCGACAGGTAGGGCGGGGCCGCGAAGGTAGGGCGGGGCCGCAACGGTCGGGGCGGGGCCGCGACGTAGGGCGGGGCCGCCTCGAGGGGCGGGGCCGCGACACAGGGCGGGGCCGCGACGAGGGGCGGGGCCGCGACGAGGGGCGGGGCCGCGACGGTCGGGCAGGGCCGCGACGTAGGGCGGGGCCGCGACGGTCGGGCAGGGCCGCTTCGAGGGGCGGGGCCGCGACACAGGGCGGGGCCGCGACGAGGGGCAGGGCCGCGACGTAGGGTGGGGCCGCGACGGTCGGGCAGGGCAGCGACGTAGGGCGGGGCCGCGACGTAGAGCAGACGCCCGCCGCGCGCCCCGGGGCGCACAGCGGGCAAAGAACCGCCGCGCGCCCCGGGGCGCACGGCGGGCAGAAAACCGCCGCGCGCCTCGGGGCGCACGGCGGGAAGGAAAACCGCCGCGCGCCTCGGGGCGCACGGCGGGAAGGAAAGGTAGCAGCGGAAGCGAGGTGGAAACCCACCCACAGGATCGATCCAGGGGGATCGACCTGCTCTGATACCATGTCAAAATTAGAAGGAAGAAAGAGAGAGGATTGAACTAGCAAGAATGAGGATACAAATAGCAAACCCTAGAAGGGTTGTACTCGCTATAGAGCACCCCACTACAGGCTAGAACAATAAGATAATATTCTGACAGTCCGAGTGAGTAGGGCCGGGGTGCGCCGGTAGGAACAGGGCTGTAACCGCTGTGGCAGCGGCTCGGCAGTGACAGTAGCGGCTCGACGGCAGGGCGGCTCGGCGGCTGGGCGGCTCGGCGGCTCGGCTGCTGGGCGGCTCGGCAGCTCGGCTGTTGGGCGGCTCGGCGGCTCGGGTGCTAGGCGTCTCGGCGGCTCGGCGGCTCAGGTGCTGGGCGACTCGGCGGCTCGGCGGCTCGGCTGCTGGGTGGCTCGGCTGCTCGGCTGCTGGGCTGCTCAGCGGTGAAGGGGCCGGTAGAGGGCGGCGACGGGGCCGGTAGAGGCGGCGAAGGGGCCGCAAAGGGCGGCGTCGGGGGCCGCTAGAGGCGGCGACGGGGCCGCGAAGAGCGGCGACGGGGTCGCTATGGGTGGCGACGGGGCCGCGAAAGGCGGCGACGTGGCCGCAAGGGGCGGCGACGGGGCCGATAGGGGCAGCGACGGGGCCGCTAGGGGCGGCGACGGGGCCGTGAAGGGGCCGCGAGGGGCCTAGAGGGGCGGCGACGGGGCCTAGAGGGGCGGCGACGGGGCCGTCAAGGGGCCGCGAGGGGCCTAGAGGGGCGGCGACGGGGCCTAGAGGGGCGGCGACGGGGCCGCAAAGGGGCCGCGAGGGGCCTAGAGGGGCGGTGACGGGGCCGCAAAGGGGCCGCGAGGGGCCTAGAGGGGCGGCGACGGGGCCTAGAGGGGCGGTGACGGGGCCGCGAAGGGGCGGTGACGGGGCCGCGAAGGGGCCGTGAGGGGCCTAGAGGGGCGGCGAAGGGGCCGCGAAGGGGCCGTGAGGGGCCTAGAGGGGCAGGGACGGGGCCGCAAAGGCCGGCGACGGGGCCGTAAGGGGTGGCGACGGGGCCACTAAGGGTGGCGCGAGAGGCCTCTAGGAGGGCGCGACGTGAGGGCGGCCTACGGGGCGCGCCTCGGGCAGGAAAAGAAAGGTCGAGTTTAGTGGTGGGCCCTGAGAAGCGCTCCCATGAGGGAACCTGCTCTGATACCATGTGAAGAATGAGGAAAAATTGAATCAACTAGGAAAGAGGTGGGTAAAAGTAGGAAAACCTAGAAATGTTGTACCCCATATTGTCTACCCCACTACAGCCTACACAGACTATAGCATATAAGTTTGACAGTTTTTGGCAAGTTCATATTCAAGAATCATGAATTTGAAAAGCGCCATGTAGAACTCGGGCTTTAACATTCATCGACATCCCGCAAATGTTCACTTTTTACGCGCCATTGGTCAGCAATTTCACATATCCTTTCTTTCCATTCCTCCTCCCTGTCAGAGGTCCACTGGTGATCCCCGATCGATCCTAGGGAAGGGTTACAGGCACGTTTGCCTGGGGGGTTATGGGCGCACTGACCCGCTACTGAAACAAGCCCTTTTATCCCAATGGTCTAGTGGTTGGGATTCTGAGATGGTATCCAGAGCGAAGGTCTCGGGTTCGAATCCTGGTGTATGCACTTCGGGCATCCCAGTGCGGGGGGGTGTCAGAGGTCCACTGGTGATCCCCGATCGATCCTAGGGAAGGGTTACAGGCACGTTTGCCTGGGGGGTTATGGGCGCACTGACCCGCTACTGAAACAAGCCCTTTTATCCCAATGGTCTAGTGGTTGGGATTCTGAGACTCCCCTCTTTTCGAATGGGAAATGATCAAACTGGGGCCGAAGAGTGCCAGCGGGATGACCAAAGTGGGGCGAGAAAATCTCGACCGTAGGATTTCGACCCCGAGCTGCCCAAGAGGCTAGGCGAACAAGCCGAACCATAACTAAAATATAAATGCTACCAGCACCAAACTTTATATCCAACTTATTGAAACAATGGTTACGACCGCCGTCTACTACTACGCGCACATCGTGTTCTTCTGGAAGTAAATATTGTTGTATTAATTTCTGAGTCCAAAAACAAATTCATTATGGGTGATAAATATCACTCCCTGATCGGAAACGCGCAGAAAAAAGAAATATATTACCCATTCGAAAATGGATGCGACTAGGGAGGCATCAACCCTAAACACAACGAAGCTTCCTGTTTTTAGGGTTGATCCATCCCGAAAATGCATCCAGGTTCCCCTAAGGGTGCCCTAAGGGTGCGCCAGATCCATTGTCGGAAAAATCCGGCCGGCCGGAATTAGCGAAAGTAACAAGTTTGCGACACTCGCAAAAATTGTCGTCGAGTTCGCCAAATCCCGCCATATCTAAAAAAAAAATATGGTCGGTTCAGCATTCGACAAAGTTCCGACGTGCAGTCGACTTGAAAGTCGACCAATTTGTTGTGAGAATTGAGGAATGAAATAAACTAGCACAAAGTTGGGTACAAGTAGGAAACCCTAGGAAACTGTACCCCGTAGTGTCTACCCCACTATAGCCTACACAAGCTATATAATATGAGTTTGATACACCCCCATAGGCAAAGTGGGGGAGAACAAGAGGTCACTGTCAAACATTATATATGTTGTGCTTGTTTAGGCTACAGTGGGTTAGCCTATAGGGGGTACACAATTCTAGGGTTAGGTACTTGTACTGATTTCACTATTAGTTCAACCATTCCTGTTCGTTCATTTCAACATGGTATAGAGCAGGTCCTTCGCTAGGACCGTTCGTTTTTCACGGCCCCCTAAGGCCCCGCGACCCGCGACCCACCCCTTAGCTACTCGCGCGCCGCCCCTTAAGGCCCCGTCGGCCCACGCGATCGCCCCTTACGGCCCCGCGCTCGCCCCTTAGAGACCCTGTCGGCCCCGCGATCACCCCTAACGGCCCC